ATTAAAACCAGACGTCTAGGTTACTTCTGAGAAAGAACCCACTTTTTGAAGTTCTTCATCCATACTGTTCGATATTAATAACTTAAATACATTACATACATGCTTTCTATACATACAAGATAATTGTGCATCCCCATCCTTTAAAAGGTCAACTAGATCCTCAGGAGCTTGAGAAGTGAAGTTTTGCCTAAAACTGCCGCTTCCCCATAGCGGTTCCAGTCCTTAACCTTGAACTACAGCCTAAGGGAGAGCTCTCGGGTCTCAAATAAAACCAAAGGAAGAAATATTCGCCCTCAGAACAGAGTAACGCAGCTGAATTTTGGTCAATATCACAGCAGTGTCCCTGACCAGCATCCACAAAAAAACCACCATTTTTTAGTAATGTTCTAGGACATAAAATAAATATGTTACTTCTTTCAGAAATGTTTTGAGCCTGTTGGTACAACTGGCATTACAAGCTAGAATACAGCAGCTGACCCACCTTAAAGCACAACAAATGACTTCTACTTACATTGTGCCTCAAATCCCTTCAAATTCAGCCTTACCACAGCCCCCCTTAGACAAATACCTGAGTTGTGTTTGTGCATTTTTTTTTCATAAAACAAAGTGAAATATCTTGGTTGAGAAGCAGAATTTTTAAAACTACAAAAATCTGCAGAAGGACAAGGGCTAAAATGACTCAACCCTGTTTTCATTTTTTAAAACTATAATTCATTGCTTCCTATTATCAGGAATATCTTTACCACACTTACACTTGTTGCTAGAACAGCCTTATTTTCAGAAGACTTGCTACCATCCCCTGCAAACAATAAATACACCGACAACCTGAATATCAACTGGACCTGTACTTAGAGCAATTATTTTCAGTGCCCTAAGTTCTCAAAAAAAACCCCAAAACTTTTGGATGATAACTTTTTCTTTTTAATTAAAATTCATTCTGGTGGACAGCACTAGCCTGACAGGATATTTTCCTACTTGTGACCTAAAAAAAAAAAGAAAAAAAAAAAAAAAAAAGGGCAGCAAAGCACCCTTTACCTGACTCCACTGACTCACAGAAGCAGCATCCAGAAGTGAAGAATTTCTATTTTTTTTTGCCCTTTAACCTCCACAAGGACACTACCCCCTAAAGGCGATAATTAGCATCAACTGTTTTTCTTGAGGTGGACATCTCTACCAACAGCTGGCCTGAGACAAGTGATTTATTGCACCAAATACAATCAGGTGTCAAAAAAGACCCTAACTCAGGACTAACCTACCTATCTACACAAGGCTAGAACTGAAATAACTAAAATTGTACCGAGTTTACTCCTTCAAGATTATTCATATCCTGTTTTGATTTAACTTACATCTATGTTAAACTGAAATAGGATACTCATAATCAGAAATGAAAGAGTATATTCGCATAAAGGCTTATACTAAAATAACTAAAGGTGTTAAATTACTTCTAGTTTCAGTTATTTCGGTTCCAGACCATGCATAGACAAGCTCATCAGAGGTGAAGCAATAAAAATGCTCTGAATTACACTATCCTGTCTGAAAGAAGCAAGCAGCAGAGAGATAACTGACTAAACAAACAAACCCCTGCAAAAACAAAACCAAAACCTCCAGCTAAGTTTGATTTTTAAATCCACCTCTATTTATGGGATGTGACCCCGGGATGTTGTCTTTCCTAAAGACCTTTTCACAGAAAGGAGAAATATAAAAAAAAAAAGAGCAAGCTACGTGTGGATAATGAAAGGCTTTATCTGATATCTCAATTATTCCTGCAACTGAAGCACTGCCAAAGGTTTCTGTTACCCTTTTCTCCCCTCCTCAGGGGAGAGTGACAACTGCATTTTCAATAGCAGAACAACGGATGAGTCTCAGTTAAAGAAAACAAGAGAGTAACAATTCTGGTCCCAAGTGTCCAAGTGAATTTCAAAACATTACCAGGAATTCTTTGGAGTTTGTTTTCTTATTGAGTATTGCAAGTCTAAAACTGCCCTCCCCGCCCTGAGCTTGAGCTTTAGTCCCTAAATCCATCAGTACACGCTCCGATACAATTAAATGATTCTCAAGGTTACTAGAGAGATAAGCACGGAGTCAGTACCAAAATAACGTACTCGACGAGGACCAGAATCCTGAGCGTGGGGATCGACTGCAGGAGAACATGGACTTGGGTTTTATTCTCAGTACTTTGAAAAGGTGTCGGATTCAACATCTAGTTGTTTACCACAAATGTACAAGCAACTGCTGATTCCCACGAGAATCCCTCTTTGCAGACACTAAACTTAAAAAAAAAAAAAAAATCCAGAATGGCTATATCATGTGTGCCCTCCAGGGTACTGTCTAGCATAACTTGACCCATATAAAATGTTACCAGATAGTACAATGCCCTCAAGACAAATTGCACCATGCAGAATTCATATTTACATGTGATGCTATCACCGCAGTTGAGACTGTAGTACTATTCACTCTCTTACAATAGTAACGAGTGAAAGAAGCTGCCTACTGCCTACAATTTTTGAGAGGGTGTCCGGTGCTTGGCTATCTTACAGCACTAATTCAAACTTTGTGCTTGAACGTTGACCAGAAACGAGCAGCTGAAAATCTGGGCTGTGCGTGTGGGCCTCCTGTATCCCACTGAGCGGAGGCACAGGCAACGCAGGATCTCACCCCAGGTTTGCAGCAGGATGGGAGCTCTCAGCAACAGAGGTGGTTTTGGTTGTGCACAGCACAGTTTGCACAGCATCCTTTTCAAGATGCAGGCATGCATCTCCTGTCCTTCAGTCATACACAGCCTCTGGCACGCAGTTCACTTCACATAGCTCATGTGTGTCGCTGGGCCACACGACTCCAGTCTCCTTTTTCCACAGTGCATGCAGGTGGTTCAGCATACATGAAGGAAATCACGCAACCAATGGCAACATTTCGACTTCACCTAATAAAAATAAATCGCAGCAACCTTTCCATCTAAATTAAGGTGCTTATTAACCTTTGGGATCTTAAAAATTCAAGTTACGCTCGTGCACCTTTCATAGTACTACATATGACTGCCACAATTAATGTGCATGAAGAATATCAGGCAAATCTATGATGACTGAAAAGTTAAAAAATTGCTCAGGCCTGAATTTTTTACTTCTGTTATCAATAGCTTAATTTATTGCAACTTTGTGACCTCTTCAAAGAGACAAACAAGGATTATAAATATAAGCAAGCACTAATATTGATATGTCAGCATTAGTTCTGGTATTATTAACAATGGGCATGAGTGCATTATGCAGCAGAAAAGGGGGCTGAATTTTAATAGACATGTTAACAACATCTGTCAGCATTTATTGCCCTATTGTGACCACGTAAAGAGCCTTATTGGCAGAATACATAAGTGAGGAAATCTGCTACACTGTTGCAGCCTGCCATTCTCCTGAAATATCACTCTGCTTAGGAGAGGTTCAGGTATTCTAATTAGAAAAATAAATAAACAAAAATATAGACGAAACACAGAAGGACTTCTCCAAGCCATGTCACATGGAAGAAAAGCAAGCAAGTTCTGCAGCAAGCCAAGATTTTCTTCTACTCCTTGATGTCTGCATAAGATACTTCTAAACATTTTTTTACTATAATTAATAAAACTGAAGCCCACAGCGAGGAATGCAAGGATGTAACAAAGAAATAAAAAGCAAACAAAAGAAACAAAACCACCCTCAAAACAGGGCAACAAACTACATCCCCTCTCAGCAGCATCCAGAGGCAAGTACCCCACGTCCTCAGGCTCCTCAAGGAGATTCTGCACAGCCCCATAATCCTTCTTTCTGAACCAGAAAAATAGTTCTAACAGCTAACACCAAGAAAGCATACTCCTTTCTGTCTCTCTCTCTCCCCCTTTTTAAACTCAGCAGTAATCTTATTGCTTTACTGGTAAAAACATCAAGCAGGCTTGTTTCCTGTTTCAATGTTATTCTTGAAGTGGGCTGCAGTAAGAATCTGATTTTCATTGGGCTATTATTATTTGCAGCTGCACGACCTTTTTAACCCTCTTTTAAAAGTGACATTTCAGCCTTCAACCTCAAGCTGTCTAAATGTTGCAAGGTTTTCAGTCCTCTGATTAACAGTGAAAATGAACCGATGGGGAGGTGTATACTACAACGTGTCTAATACAGGTCAGTGCACCCATCCTGCCATTTGCACAAGTGAGTAATTACACTCTTATAAGCAACCTGTTTGTTGAAATTAATCACCTGGGCACATGCTTGCAAGACAGGTTTCTTCAGCCTGGTGTGACCAAGGTCACTGAGATTTCCAAATGCAAGTGCAAAATACCCAGTCACTAGCATTAACAGCAGTACGCAGAGACATGAGCAATAAATGAAGCACCACCTATTTTTTAGGGTCATGGCTACAATGTATGAAAAGTGAGAGACATGGTTATGGTGCACTTGTGAATATTAAAGGAACCCATCAGTGTATGCAGCATTTTAAACTGCTAGTGGTGGTTATTCGGTACAGCACTATTTACAGATAATTACAGTGTTATTACAAATGCTATTAAGACTTGTTGGTTTTGGAAGTGTAGTACACACAGGGTTAATGCCTACAGTTGTTCCCAATATGT